ATAATACAATTACTAATTACAGTGACAACATAATGGTAATATCACATTCCTGATATAATAAAAAAAGTAAAAAAATTAAATAAATTAGTCTGTGCATATAGAATGATGGTACCTATATATATCATTTGATTATTAAGTTATTTGGAATGCACTGATAGTAGTGACATATGCAGGACTTCGGATGTTTGTGCAATACTTTTATGCATGTGCATGAGCTTAGAAGGATGTGTATTTGCTTTCTACTGAAAAATCACCAAATATACAAAAATATTGTCATTTACATACTCCAATGTCATATAATTTTCTTTTTTCCGTGAAACACAAAAAGTGATTCCGGAGCTTCTGTTTTTCACACAAGGAAAGTGGATGGTGATTTATACATTAATATTTTAGCTAGCACTATGAGCTAATCATTTCATGTTATGGCTGAAAACTGATAAATGGCTGATTTAAAAAAAATCTAAACTATTAAAAAATATAATACAATAAAATTAATAGTTTACAACTGCATATAGACTTTAAAACATCATGACAGTAAAATATGTAATACAGATAACCAATAGGCTACTATATGCTCTGGTCGGTTCAAAAAAGAAAGAACAAGTAACATTTATAAAGATTGTGCAAATTTTAATTTTAAGGCTCATTTTCCAACTCCCCTAGAGTGCAGCAGGCGCAATGATATTACGCAGCGCCTGAAAATAGTCCCCAGCACGCTCCCTGTGCAAGCAGGTGGTCACGTTGGTTATGTTGACGGAAGTTATCTTATTTTCAGGCGCTGCGTAATATCATTGCGCCTGCTGCACCCATGGTACGGCAGCAAAGTTCCTTGATTATTACGCCGGAATGAGAGAATAGTTCCTAGCCATATCGGCCTAGAAAATCACAACTTTTCATTTTCTGTCGGCCTTAGTACACGATGTAACTACAGAAGAGTCAAGTTTTAAATAGGAAAAATATAGAAACTCTTTGGTCATTTTTGAGCGAGATGCTAACGGTCTAATCAGATTCAATGATCTATGCTAAGCTGCAGCTAAAAGTGCTACCGCCAGACCCGGAGATCGGCTGAATGGATTCGAAAACGGTAAAACTCAACTGTTTAACTCTAGGGGAGTTGGAAAATGAGCCTATTTTCAAAAATAGTGGAGTGTTCCTTTAATACATGAACACACACAGCTCTATGCATAAATAAAATCAGAAATCACAACTCTTCTGAATAGAAAAAATGACCCACACAAGTTCCCCAAACAGGCAAACATACACCCCGAACATGACATGGTGTGGAATGTAGGGCATTGCCATGGCAATACAGCTGCCTCTAGGTCCATCCTCTTCCCAGTGACCAAACAGTCACAAAGATACACTTAGCAATGGGATTAATAGAAATTGTGCAGTATGACCCACTTTCTCTTAGACTATCATTTTATTTAATTATTAAAATTAGTAAAAATTTTAAATATTTTATTGTTTAAAGTTAATGGGCACATATTGGTAAAAGGGGTAATAGAAAGGATGCATTGTTTAAGCTGTGGTATCTTTTAATCTATGTCAGAAGGTTACAGGCAAAACCATATTGTTGTTCCAGTAAGGCACCAAATACAATAGACCTTACAGAATTATGCTAAATGTGGTGGTGTCATTGCACATGCACTTATAGACAAAAACAAATGTGCCAAATGAAAACGGGCAAGACAATAAATGGATCATTCAGTCTCTTTACCAACACAACTTTATTTGCATAGAGTTTGCATGTGTGCTCAAGAGATCCAATGACTATGGATCTTGAATGATTTTGAATGTAAAATTGTGATATTTTACTCTCAAAAGCTTGAGTTGTGGAAAAATAACTTGTCAAGTCACACTGTTTTTGTGATGAAAACGACAAGAAGGAATATTAATACCATACCGCAAAAGGTGGCATAATGAGGCATAACGGTCTAAGATTATAAAGACCTCATTCTTCATTATTAAAACACAATTAATATGTACAGATAAGCAGGTGAGACCAGAATAGAGTTGGTCCATTTAATATCACTTAATGAATTTCTTAATGCGTGTTCATATGGTCTGTGTAGTTTGCATCAACAATAAGAAATACTGAATTTGGTCTTTATCATCTTAGTCCGTAATGGCACATTAAGCGTTTTGCTGTAGGCGTATGGGAGGAAAAGTATAAGTTTGCTCGTTGTGTTCATGAGCATATGCTTGCCTTGTAGTAGCCTAGTACATTAAATGAATAAACTATATATCGAATTTGATCTTTTAATAGCACTATCTTAACACATTAAGCCATATTAAGTGTATGGTTTTCTACGGAGGTTTAAAAGCGCTTAAAGAGAGACTTTGCGCATTGCATTCATATCCTGCTGTTCTGTGGCCAAGGATTTGCGGGTCTTGTCTTTTTCTCCTACAGATGACTTGCAGGACCCTGTATGTTATAGTACTAAATCAGTTTTAATCATTTAACCACCACAGCGTCTTGTCTCCATTGGCAACACGCACGATTTGTGTGGCTTGCAAGTGACGTCACGGTAGCTGAGCGTGCAAGCGGCGATTGCAAGTGACTTCGTGCCACCTACAATCCCTGCCAGTACGAGACTCGAACCCACAACCTTTTGGGTTATGAGTCTAACCATTAGGTCACGACTTCCCCATAGTACTAAATTAGTTTTAATCATTTAACCACCACAGCGTCTTGTCTCCATTGGCAACATGCACGATTCGTGTGGATTGCAAGTAGCTGAGAGTGCAAGCGGCGATTGCAAGTTACTTCGTGATTTAGTTTATTTTTTCTTGTCTTCACCACCTGGCTACTTGTGTAAAATGTTAAGAGAGTCAATTAAAAAAAATAATTAAATAAATAAAAAATCAAAAAAAGACTGCAAGTGACGTCACTCGCGGAAGTGCAGGTGTGTGAGAGTGCAAGTCTGAGAGTGCAAGTCTGATACATAAACAAATGTTTTTATGCATTGCACAGCCAGGACAAACAAATCCTCATCCCTGAACAAGACTCGAGGCTTCTTTCATTTTTGGTGAACTATCCCTTAGGGCTGCACAATTAATCGAATTTCTAATCGCAATTACAATTAGGGATGCCACAATTACATAATCGTTCAAAGCAGCAATTAATCGTTTAAAGTCAGCTTATGTTATTCTGCGTGCTTAAGATGCTTTTTTTTTCTTTCTACATGTTATCTTAAGGGTTTTTCCATTGTTTTAATTTTAGTTTTAGTATAACATTATAATATCATGCTTATTTTTACTTTTTTATTTAAAGAAGAAACCAATACAATGTATAGTTGACATTTGAGGCTCAATACTATAGAAAAGCAATAAAAATTTTCATATAAAAATACGGCATGCCGTTGCTTCAAACAAAGGTGTAAACATAGGCTAATTCATTTAATCGTAAATTAATAATCGCAACTACAATTTCAAATGAATAATCGACAGTTATGATTTTTGTCATAATCGTGCAGCCCTACTATCCCCTTAAATAGTATGACAGAACTTCCAAATCTTTGGAATTAATTGAGATGACAGGAAAAATGCATGTTTATACATTTATACTAATATATATATATATATATATATATATAGATATAGATATAGATAGATAGATAGATAGATAGAGATATAGATATTGTTATGTCTTGTTTTATCTATCTGTTTATTGTGTAGCTTGATTCTAATATTCACTAATATTGTGATTCTGACCTTTATATACGCAGGCCTACTTTTTATTGAAAATTTGCTTTCTACAAACCAAATCACCAGGAGAAGTTCCTGCGCTCCAGTGTCACATTCCATTCCTGGCTAGTTCTCACAATCAGCTGTGGCACTACGATGCTCAATGGTTTCCCTTCATCTTGTGCAACTTTGAGGAGGCTGAACTCCTCCCGGCTATTTCTTGCTTTGCTCTCTCTCTACTGCCTCTGTATCGCTCGAGAGGGTAATGCGTGCACAGACAAGTGCGTTAAACTCCTCTAGAATTCCTCCAGGAGAAATGCACATTTATCCAAGCGCCTAAACCGCGATATTTCTCAAATGTTGCTCTCTACATTCTCTAGTTTCTTTGCTCGGAATTGTCCTTTTGACCCGCCTTCCATCTAAAAGACATGCAACTTTGGCAGCGCTTGGCAACCAGGTAGTGGACAGCTGTACAGCAGCATGCAGTTTCTAGCAAACAGTATTCCCTGGATCTTCGCTGAGTCAACCCATGGCCCCTTCGTTTGTGGATGTATATTCAGATGGTCTGACTAACGCCTAAGTGGAGGAAACACGCAGAAGGGCGAGGGAGAATGGCTTCGAAAGAGCGACTGTACGAGCTGTGGATGTTATATTACACTAAGGTGAGCCACTCGACACCTGTTGGTTTCGGAGTTTATGTTGTCGCAAATTTGCCACTGTCATTTAACATTATGTCGCATCCTACATATAGTTAAAAGGCAAGCATATTCGCCATAATTCCTATCCGCTTTGTGTTGAAACAGTTTCAGGAAGTGCGTCCGTGGTTATTTTTTGGGAAGGTTGCGCGTGCACGTACACAGTGAAAACATTTTGACGCTCACTTCATATTTCATCAATTATGTTGTTATGAAGCGACTGAAAATTGTGATGACAAGGACTGATGATATTTTCGCTAAGCATAACGCTATGGTTCATCACAACAGGTCAATTGGATGTTTACAGTTATGTGTACCCTTACCAAAAAGTAGTAGCCTATACTTCAAGTTTATTTTAGTAAGTATACTTAAGTAAAGCTCAAGTATATTTTTAAGTATACTTTATGTAGTAAGTATACAAATATCAGAGAACAGGGTATCTGCTTGTAAACAAAAACATTTTATTCTAGCTTCATGCATTCTTTTTTTAAACACTTGAATGTGGATAAGTTTCATAAATAAAAAATAAAGAAATAAACAACATTTTGAACAAAAAGCTGAAAAAAGACTATGAATTGGATTCAGAATGATAATCAAAACGTAGATAGAGTCGATCAACACTCCAAAGCTTGACAGTCATTATTTCCTCTTCATTGGTCGACATTTTATTCCATAATGTTACACAGTTTTGATGCTGTTTTATGTCTGATGATCGTGTTAGATTACATGTGGAAGCATCTGTTGTTTCGGTTTCTTCTTCACTTGTGTTTTTTGGAAGTTCTGTACAGAAGATGTGTACTAGCGCCCTCTACAGTATAACAATGAAAACGCGGATTCTAGGAACACAAGTATAGCTCAAATATATTTAGACTTTTTCTAAGTATAAGTCAAGTATACTTAAATGTCATTTTAAGTATATTTATGAGAAGTACATAAAGCCCATTTCTGAGAAGTACATAAAAAGTAGACTAAAAGTATACTTTCCTATTTTTAGTTTAAAAGAAGTATACTAATAGCACACTTGAATAAACTTATTTTTCGTAAGGGTAGCCTAATTCTAGTTTAGCTGTGTGAGTCAGGTAATGCCATTCTCTTCCTGCTTACTTCTCTTTTTCTTTTCATTATACAGATAGTCTTTTATTCATATGCAATTTGAGTTTGCAAGTTCTTTAGTTTGTGTATTTTAAATAAATTAACAGCAATACAGAGAATATAATGTGTTATCTAATTTTTTATTTTAAATCTTTAATTACAATGCCGAGGTACTTTAACTACATACTTGAATTGTTTCGAGTTTATTTAAAATATGCATTTTTTTTGTATGCTGAAATGTTTTAGATTTACTTGTGAATTAGCTATGTCCGATTCGCGAACGAATCGTTCTTTTGAGTCGGATCTCCTAACGCTTTGTTCACGAATCGATCCGAGCAGGTCTCTCGTCAACAATTCACTGACTAGAGAATAGAGAATTGTATGTTTACAGTTTGAGAGTTGACAGTTTTATCATCAGTTTTATGACTTTTCTTTTTATGAGCTGAATCGTGGTTGTAAAGTGAACTGGGGCCCATGAAATTACAATGCAAACTGTTATTAATAATGCTTAATCAAAAAGCAAAGAAAAGAAAAACAGTATCCAAATGTGCAGTGTTAATATTTTCCATATTCATTTCTACCCGTATTTTGATTTGTGTTTTAGGGTTAAAATGTCTCTAAACCTAACGGATAATGTCCTGCTCCTCAGACCACTGATTTTTTACTTTTTTTAATTACATTGTTATCATCATTAATATGTGTGTACCTATGGATTTTTATTTTCTGAGACATTTAGAATATGTAATATGCCATGCAAGGATGTCAGGGGCCACTTGATTATGTCATGACTTAAAAGAATCACTGAATCATTTTTTTAGCCATTTGAAAGAAACTATTCTGGAATAACCTGATTCACAGAAATGATTCGAGCTTCCCATCACTATGAATGGGAAATAAATGGACATTCCACATTAAGGATGGTTATACTGACAACACCCTCTGGCGGACTGGTGCATACAAAGGCCACACTGCACTCTTGCACATTTTTGAGAGCAATTATTTTAAATGATTAAAACAACATGTTGAAGTTGGGCATCCATGTATTCCATCTGAAACTCTGTCATTATGGCCACTTCACTGGTCAGCAGCTGAAGTCGGCTGTAATGCCTCACTATAGCAAGTGTTCTTTATGAATGGCTACCATGGTAACCAAGACAGCAGGTGCAGGATACAAGAAACACCAGGGCTCACCATAGAGAAATGTCTACTTGCAGATCACTGTTTTAATTTGGCACCCACACTCTTTAAAAAAGATAGTTAGCAGATTGCATGGAAAATAAGCTTTGTGAATTATTCAAAAGTGTTCCAGTCTGGACTTGCTGGTCTTGGCACAAAGTTCTCCAGATAGCTGGCAGTGTTTCTCTAGATCTCATTCATTTTATAATCTAAAAAGGAACCCTTTGTCATTTCATTCCCATTTATTAATAACTTCACACGTACAGCTAACAGGGATCCATACCAGACATGCAAAGTAGATGGACTTGTTCCTCTGACTTGTTGCAGCAGGCGTATGGGTCTGCCTTTTTCCACAGTTACACGGATATAAATGTGATTTTCTGTGAAACAAGGATAAAAGGCGTAATGTATGTGATTTTTGCACACCCATATTTATGAGTTAATTAGTTTCCCCCTGCATGTTTGACAGCACAATGCTTTCCAGTGTTTTGAATCTTGTTTGAAACACCCATTTTAATGCCTCTGCTGGCAACTGTCTGCTGCGATTTTAAATGGATAAGGTTGAAAACTTGTTTGTTTTTCTCTGGGCTCATGAGGCCTTGCTCTATTTTAAACTTATTTAAAGCTCTCCTCACCTATTATGCAAGTCATTTGACCATAGAATGAGTCCTATGTCCTCCCAATGTAATGAGGTCTCATGGGAAGATTGTAAATTTTATTTAATTTTATTTTAATTTGTATCATAATCGCAATTACATGTTATTTTAGAATCTGGTTACAGGCAAAAAATGTTTTCTCAATATGTTAGCTTGAAGTCAGCATACATTAAAATTCACCCTATTTATTTTTTTAATTCATTACACTTGGATGTACATCACTGTACAGTAGGGATGTGCTCTACGACTAATTTCACTGCCATTTAAATAGAAAATTTGTAACCAACTAGTTGTCTAATCTAAAAGTAAGAAAATGTCAGAAGACAATTGTATTGTGTGATCCATTTGAAACACTAAAACTATGATTCAAAGTGTCAAATAATCCCAGATATCTTATTATGCAACTTGATCTTATTTTCTATCAAACGGATAAAATTTACAACACTGACAGCAACAAAAACAGCAAATGGGTTGAATGACAATGCAAATTCACTCTCTGACAGTAGGTGGCGCTTTTGGACAAGCAAAAATACAGTGGTTACCATGGTTGCCCCTCTAAACAAAGCAGTGCTGTGCTTATAAACACTATTTTATTAAGCGTTATAGGGAGATAACATGAAAAAATGTCAACAAAACTTTTCAAAATAGTTATTTTTAAATAATTATTATTTTTAAAACATAAAATAAAACACTAGTTGAGTATTTCCAATGTCGACCATCAGCTGCAGTTCCATTTAGCCGACTAGTCTTGCACATCCTTACTGTACATAAGAAAATAACTTTTCAGCTGTTATAGCGCCACCTATGGTCCGATCTCCATGAAACTTTGCATGCTTGCTAAGAGTCATCTGACACATATATTCACCAAGTTTCGTAAAGTTCGGAATTTTTGTTTAGGTTTTATAGGTTTTGGGGTATATTTGACCACGCCCTTTTCTAAATGACCCCGTTAAAGGTAACCAAAGAACAAAATTAAACATTTTTTTGATAATAATTTATCTAGAGAGTCCAGAGAATATTATTGCAGTGGTTTGATCGAGATTGAGCGAAAAACCTAGGACTAGTTCGCAAAGTAGGTTTTTAACATATTTGTGAATATTTATTGAACGATTTGATTGACAGCAATGGTTCTTGAGGCAAAGTTGCTCATTATGAGGAGATCTATCAAATTTGCTTGCTAAGAGTCATCTGACACATGTTTTCACCAAGTTTCGTAACGTTTTGAGTTTTCATTTAGGTTTTATAGGCTTTTGGGTATATTTGGCCACACACCTTTTAAAATGACCCCATTATAGCTAACCAAAGGACAAAATTCAACAGTTTTTTGATAATTATTGATCTAGAGAGTACAGAGAATATTACTGCAGTGGTTTTATTGAGATTTAGCAAAAAACCTAGGACTAGTTTGCAAAAGTAGGTTTTTAACATAATTGAGAATATTTAATGAACGATTTGATTGACAGCATTAGTCCCAAAGGCAAAGTTGTTCAGAATGAGGAGATCTATTATATGATATGAATACCTTTATGAATTTAAAGATGTATTTAGTAATATTTTATTTCTGGCACTGGCCAGTTTGGCAGTCATCTTGGACTTATTGACACCTAGTGATGTGGATGTAGCTTAACACAAAAGCAAACGTTTGCCGTTGTAGAAATGCGCCATTTGCAGTCAGACATGATTAATGTATTCTGTGAGGAAATGTGCTCAGTTAGGGGAAGGCTACCAAGACAGAGTGAATAGTATTTGGCTGGTCATGTGATCTTATGTGATTCTCATGTGAGTCTTCATCACATGTGAGTCTATACATTACTTTAAACATATTGTACATTCTTTTCTTTAAGTGTAAAACCTTTTTAATGAGACAAAAATCAAAGAGCTCACTGCTAAGCAAGCGTTTAATGTTTTCAGTGGCTGAATACCTTGTCCCCATCAGAGGCAGCTGTACATAATCGCAGAAGAACAGCGAAGTTTAACGTCATGACATTCCGGTGATCTTGCTGTATTGTAATAATGTGCCAGCTATATTTTCTTTTGGCTGCG